GGCAGCCTCAGGCAAGTTAATCTTTCAACTCCTTGTAGAAAATGGACCTAAGAATATGTCCCAAAGACTTCCTACGAAGATTAAATGGGCAAATGTGTGTAAAGTGCTAAATACAATGCCTACCACAGAGAAAAGTATTAAATAAGTGTTTTTTGTTATTTATTAGTATTACCTATCTTAGTCCATTTTTTGCAGCTATAACAATATTTCTGACTGGGCAACTGATAAATAATATAAATTGATTTGGGTTAATGCTTTTAGAGGCTGGGAAGTCTAAGACCACGGTGCCAGCATCTGGTGAGGATCTTTACGCGATGTCATAACGAGCAGAAGTGCAAGCACGCACGTGCAAGACTGAAAAGGGAAATTAGGGCAAATTCACTCTTTTCTCAGGAGCTCCCAACTTCGATAACTAACGCACCTATTTAATGACATTCATCCACTGATGAGGGCAGAGCCCTCCTGACCTAATCACCTCTAATGATTTCACCTCTTAACACGGTCACAATGGCAACTGGATTTCAGCTTGAGTTCTGAAGGGGACACATGCACCACAGCGCTGTCTTCATCATTGCTGAGTTCCTGGCGGCTTTCAAAAGGACTGTGGATCTTCCCTTGGTGATACAAAACACTGCTTCCTGAGGCCCTGTGGACTTCAAACTCCTGAATTTTCTCCTGCCAGCTGTTTACCTGACTTCGAGCCTCTGGTCACCAGGAGTGTGCTGTCTTCTCCCTTTAAATGATATTCCTTCCCATGGCACCTGATGCCTAAGGGACAGTAATGTGATCTTCGAATATAGCACTTGGAGTCTTTGTACCTAAGGGAATATATGCTGAGGACTAAAACTTCATCTGGTATTTGTATTGTTGCTATTAATGTTGGTATGGTAATTCTGGAACTACAATATGTACAGGGTTGGATAAAAAAAGTTAATATGTTATTATCAGGAATTCAATTTTTCTATGTAGGAGAAAAAGATCCCATATAAAGTCAAGGAAGTTCGGAAAAACACTTATGAATTATAAATAATAATATAAGCATGTGGTATATATGTATATGATATGTGTGAATATGTGAATATATATATTTGTGCATATATTTCTATATAAAATTATACATTGTATGCAAATGTGTCACATATCCATATATTTACATGTACTCACAAATTATATATTTGCATATACTCATATGTTATATGTATGTGTCTCTGTGTGTGAATATATATATGTATTCTTCCTTAGATTTACCCAGTGAAAGGGAGGGCATGGAAATAGTAATCCAATAATAATGAATACACCTAGAACTGCAATCTTAATCTTCAAATACATTCTCCCATTAAAAATGGCCAGAGCCACAGCTTATAATAGCTAAATCTTGGAAACAGCCCAGATGCCCATCAACCAATGAATGTATAAAGAAGATGTGTTTTTTTAATACAATGGACTACTACTCAGCCATAAAGAAAAATTTGAGACATTTATAGCTAAATGGATGCACCTTGAGAAAATACTCTGAAATGAAATAAATCAGACACACATATATAAATATCACATTGTTTCTCTGGTATGAGAAACTTAAAGTGCAAATGAGAACCAAAATGTATCATAGATATTGTGAAATAGGGAAAAAATGTTCATATGGGAAGGGGAGCTAGGGAGGAGGGCAAGAGGAAAGGAAGGAAGGAAAAGGAAAAAATGAGAAAAGAAGGAAAAAAAGGAAACAAAGCTCTGGTAAATAAAGAGTGAGCCAGGCATGGTGGCGCACGCCTGTAATTCCAGCACTTGGGAGGCTGAGGCAGGAGGATCGCTGCATGTTCAAGACCAGCCTGTGCTAGAGTTCAAGAGCAGTCTGAACTACATGGTGAGACCCTGTCTCAAAAAAACAAAAATAAAATAAAGAGGGGTGGAGGGGTTAAAATAAGGGAAGGGGAATAGGAAAAAAATAAGAATCAAGATAGGCCAGGGATTTAGCTCAGTTGCACCATGCCTGCCTCACAAGCTCAAGGTCCTAAATTCAATCCCTTGTACCAAAAAACAAAGCAAAACAAAATAAGAATCAAGATATGTCATATACAAGTACAATTCCCTATGATGAAGGTGATCATTATATATACCTAAAATGTACCAATAAACTTAATTAATTTTTAAAAATAGCCAGAGTGCCTGGGCATGGTGGCACAGGCCTATAGTTTTAGCACTCAGGAGGTTGATGTAGGAGGATTGCCATAAGTTCAAGACCAGCCTGAACTACATAGTGAGTTCAAAGCCAGCCTGAACTGCACAGCAAGACCCTGTCTCAAAACAAAGACCAGTCTTCTTTCAGGAAGTGACTGATTGGGGCCAGGGATGTAGCTCAGTGGCACTATGCATGCCTGGCAAGTGAAGGTCCTGAGTTTGATCCCTGGTACCAAAAAAGGAAAAAAAAGAAAAAAAAATCTCATTCAGCAGCCCAAGGGCAGGTGTTGCTGGGTGTGCTGGAAAAATCTCAGCTCCAGGAGAAACAAATGCCAGATTGAAGGGGCTTCCATTGCCTGAATCTGGGACAATTTGAGTAACAACAATAACAACAAAATGAATATAATTAATTATAAAACACTGAATAAAAATGTATGATTTTATAGAGTTACAGAGAGACAGATGGAGAAAATTAGATTTGCTACCTTTCAAGATGGCTATTGTAGAAGCGCTTTGCTCTGATAAATGGCTTTTAAAAGAGCTTAGGATTTATCCTACCTTTTCTGCAGGACATATAATTTATCCTCTAGAACGAGGAAATTTGTTCGTTTTCTCTTTTTCAGTTTTAATTTTTTATTAGTACATGTTTGCAGTACATGATGATTACGTTCCTTGTGGGAGGTTGGTACCTGGACGTAACACATTAATTCTTTTCTCACCCCCTTTCCATTCCTCTTCTCTCCATACTTTGGTCCCTTTTCATTTGCAAAAGGTCTGTCTCCCTATTTCTCCTTGCCTTTATTTTTCTCTTTATTTGGGTTGTTCACATAAGAGAAACTGTGCACTACTTAAGCTTGTGTGTCTGACTTTACTTAACATTACTGTCTCATGATGCACCCCTTTTCCTGCAGATGACTCCAGCTTATCCTTCTTTGTGGCACAGCAGTACTCCACACTGGAAAACCCTACCAGCTCAGTGGTGCCCATACGTCTGCACATTTCGACCATATTGGTTCTACCTATCCAGGAATAGAAAATTCTTTTTCTTTTTTTTTCCAGCATCAGGGATCAAACTCAGGACCTTGCACTTGCGAGACAGGCATAGCTCCACTGAGCTAAATACCTAGCCCTGGAAATTTCTTTCTCTCCCTTCCTTCCTTCCTCTTGGTACCAGGGATCAAACTCAGGTCCCTGCGCTTGCGAAGCGGATGGCGGAACCACTGAGCTAAATCCCTGGCGCCCTCTCTCCCTCTCCCTCTCCCCCCCCACCCTTTTTTTTTTCTTTCTTTCTTATTTGCAGTTCTTACAGACCAAACTCAGGGTTTTCTACCACTGCAGTACATCCTCAGCCCTTTTTTGTTTGTTTGATTTTGAGATAGCGTCTAACAGTATCTTTCAGGCTGGCCCTTGAACTTACCAGATAGCCAGCCCAGGCTGACCTTGAACTTGTGGCAATCCTCCTGCTTCAGCCTCCTGAGTACAGGAGTACTGGTGTGAGCCACCATGCCCGGCCCTTTTATTTATTTATTTATTTATTTATTATATTTATTTATTTTTGTACCAGGGATCAAACAGCCCTTTTAATTTTTATTTTGAGACTAGGACTTGAAGTTTTGAGTTTTCTGTTTCAGCCTCTCTAGGTCTGGTATCACAGATGTGTACTTCCACATCTGGCTCAGCTATTCCTAATGTAAGACTGTACCTAACACATTATTTAGTGTTTTTCTTAAGATTGAGGCAATACCCTTCTAAGTATTCTCCCAAATACATTGAGGTTTTCCCAGTGTGTATGATGGAAATAGCCAGGATCTGTGGCTCTGTGTAAACACTGAACATCACCTCTGGTCTGTTTGACTGTTTCTCTCTGCATCTTCAGATAGTTTCTTCACAGGCATGAGCTAGTAAGTATTCAACTGAACACTTCAAAAGGACTCCAGAGTCCTCTGTGTAGCTATTCTTTCCAGCACTCTGTCCTGCAAATTCTAGCCTCCTGGGTTTCCCTAGACTCTCAGCTCCATCTTTTAAACTCAGTCAGCTGGGTTCCACCTGGACCTGAAAACTATGTAGACCATTTTGGAAAATTACAATCTTACCTCATTTGTTCCCAGACTGTCTCAGTTTCTTTCCTCTTGTTATTGAGACAAAGTACCCATCACCCAAAGTTAAAGGGGAAAAGGTTTATTTGGCTTATAGTTCCTAGAGGTTTCAGTCCATAATCGGCCGGCTCCAAGGCAGGGCAGCAGGGGGCAACAGTTCATGGTGGCAGCAGCAAAGGCAACAAGGGACCTTAGCAGCATCTTTCTGCCCCTTTTATCTTACTCAGACTACTTAGGGAGGGCAGTAGTCACACCCTTAATTCTGCACCGTGAATCAATCTCACACTCTGGAGTCAGCCACTTCCAAACTAGCCCCACCTCAGAGCACACGAGTCTTTGGGGGACATCTGAACACGAGCCGTGACATAGTCTTACAGGGGTCACTGTCATTCGTTGTCCTAAGTCCCCTTCTCTTCAAATAGTTGTTTCATATTTTTCTGTTTTTGTTTTGTTTTCCAATGGAAGGGTAAATCCATCCATCTAAGATCATCCTTTCTGAACTCCAAGAGGAGAGGGCAAGGAAAGCTTGTAAAAAAAGTTTCAATGTCCAGGCCACATCCTAAACGATCAAATCCAGATCCTTGGAGGTGGGATTCACATCTCCATGGCAACCCCTCTAGCTAATCCAGTGTGCATCCAAAAAAATTGTTTTAAAGGAGGAAAGGTTTATTTTGGCTCACAGTTTGTAGAGGTTTTGGCAGAGTGGCACAGCAGAGGGGAATTGCTCAGGGCATGGCAGGCAGGAAGCAGAGAGAGAGAGGAAGGAGCGAGACATACCATCCCAGGCCACCCCTCTGGCTTCACCTCCCAGTTTCACCTTTAGTGACAAACTCATCAATGAACTAATCCACGGATGGGTATCACGCTCCCGCCATCTCATCACCGCCCCAAAGCCCCACCTATGGGGACATGTGGCTTTCCAGGGACATGTAGGCAGCAGCCACAACAGGCTGCCATAAGACAGCAGCACAGACTATGTCTTCAGTACTACACCTCTTCTAGAGGCGGAAATCCCTGTAGCACGGTTTACTTCCGGGTGAGTGCTCTTTCGTGGTGCGCAGAGGGTCTCCTCCTCACTTCAGTCCTCACACAGCCTTTCTTCAGTCTGGGAAATTCTTTTTCCATGACAAGAATCCGCGAACCTACTGATACCGGAGAAATATAATTTCTAACTTGCTAGATGTCAGATCTGCCGAGTTCATGTCCCCCCAAATCAAAGAATGAATTCTAAGGAACAGTGGAGGTTAAAGGTAGGAGAGATTTATTGAGAAATAACTCCTGAGAGACAGGAGGGGTCCTGAAAACGGATTGCCCTGTGCATCCAAATTTAAGGACCGGTATTGTATAATGTGATTTTATCACTTTGGTGATTTAAAAATAATTTATTTTAAATTGAGCTTGGCCATAGGAAGAAGGCACTAGGACACATTTGCAAGTTATTGCCAAATCCTGGAATTGAAGTGGTTGAATCTCTTTAAAGTTCCCTATTCAAAAAACAAAGTTGGTCTAAATCAAAAAGCGGAACTAAACCTGCCTGTGAGAATTAAGTGCCTCTAGTGTGGGTAGACACCCACTGGGACAAGGCAGGGAGAAGAGCTGAAACTAAAGGAAGTGGGCTCAAATTTATTGTTTCAGTCAACAAAGATTTCATTCCTCACTGTCTTATTTCCTCCTCCAACAACTCAGATGAGGAAGTGAGTCTTGAGAGGCTGAGTAATTTTTCAAAAGGCAATCAGTAGCAGAGTTAAACTTTAAACCTGGTTCTCAGACACGGATTAAGGAGCAAAGCTTTGCTCCTTGCTGGGCTAACTTCCAGGGGTCAGGGAACATCCCTGAAAAGTGCTGAAACAGAAAGTTCTGTTGATCCGGCCTCCTAGCAGAGGAGCAAGAGATTCCTTGCTAAGTTCCAGGGGTGGGGGGCGGCGATGGTAAAGATGAGGACCTCCGAGAGGGATGCTCAGAGTGACACACAGTCCCACACTGCCTTCTGGGGAGAGGAGATTAAGGATCCCTGACTTCTGTCCTGGGAAGGGGCTATTTCAGAGCTGAATTGCCAGGAGAATAAAGAGACTGTGTTGCTACTTCATCTTTCCTCCTGGCTCTTCCTTGACCTCTGTTCTCAGTTAATGAAGGCCATGTTATATTTCAGCACTATGGTCTCCCACCCACAGTGTTTGCTGTAAGTCAGACCTTCTTCCCGTATCACCTCCTTGAATCCTCATTATGATTATATGAAACGGGTACTATGATCTAGTATTGTGTTAAAGATCAGGAAGGCCAATGTGTTTTTTTTTTTTTTTTTTGGTACCGGGGATTGAACTCGAGTCCTTGCGCTTACAAGGCAGGCCAACAAACCGCTGAGCTAAATCCCCGGCCCCAATGTGGTTATTTTAATTATCACTGTGCAAGAAATTGCCCTAAAATTTAAGAGCTTAAAATAACAATATACATTTCTTATCTTACCTATTTCCCGTGGGTCAGGAATTCAGTAGCAGGTTAACTGGGTGATGCTTACCTGTGATATCTCCTGAGAATTCAGTTAAGATGTGGACCAGGTCCAGGAATGGTAGCCCCTGTAATCCTCGCACTCAGGAGGCTGAGGCAGGAGAATCACTGTGAGTTCCAGGCCAACTGGGGTTACAGAGTGAAGCTCAAGGCAGCCTGACCCTGTCTCAAAAAACAAACAAAAAAGTTGTAGACCAGGACTGCAGTCTTCTTAAAGCTTGCCTGGGGCTGAGGAACCCAGTTCCAAGCTGGCTTGGAAAACAGGCTTGCAAATCAATTGGCTGTTGGCAAGGGTCTGTTACTTGCTGCTATGCTTGACTGTTCCCCTCCAAAATGCGTGTTGATATTTAATTGCTATTGTAAGTGTTGAGAGGTAGGGTCGTTAAGTGGTAATTAGATCCCGAGGGCCAATATGGGAGTGGGTCTGTTATCACAAGCCTGGGTTTATTATAATGCAAGTTCAGCCCCTTCTTGATCATTCTCTTGTGTGTTCTCACCATGTGATGCCTTCTGCCATCTTCAGTCTATATTACTAGATGTCCTAGCCTCCAGAACCATGAGTCAAATAAATAAGAAACTTCTATTGTTTTCAATTTACCTGGTCTGTAGTAATGTTATAGCCCAGAGAACAGACTAACACCCTTGCCATGTGGATCTCTCCATCGGGCTGTTCAAGTAACTGTGCCGTGTGGTAGCTGGCTCCCCCCAGAGCAAGCGCTCCAAGAGACACGGGGGTAAAAGCTACAGGGTCTTTTCTGACTTAGCCTCAGAGGTTAGACTGTTGCCAGGTGTGGTGGCATATGCCTGTAATTCCAGCACTCGGGAGGCTGAGGCAGGAGGATTGCTGTGAGTTCGAGACCAGCCTGAGCTACATAATGAGTTCCAGGTCAGTCTCAACTACAAATTGAGACCCTGTCTCCAAAAACAAACAAACCAAAAAAAGAAGTCAGATTGTCATTTTTGCAATCTCCTGGTGGTTATACAGGTCAGCCTCTTCACTGTGAGAGAAGACTGACTATTCAGGGGAAGGATACTATGGATAAAACATCGAGGGTCAATTTGGAGGCCACTACCATGGTGACCCAAGGTCACTTCATGTGGAGTGTTAGAGGTGGGCTTTGAATTCAGGCAGGAACTAAGTCATAGTAAATATTGTCTGAAAATAGCAGGGGCAGGTAGGTGTCCTCCGGTCTCCCTTGCCCTGAAGACATTCATACTTGAGATCCTGTTTCAAATTCCAGTGACCAGGAAATCAGATACTATCTAATGTGTCAGACAGACACTTCACAAAAGCAACAAAATCAGGGCATTTTTATAAAAGATTGCACAAGGCATGCTTGATGGTGGATCTTTTGTTCCAAAGAGAAACTGGAATCTTGCTTGTGTTGCTGTTGATTTACAGCGGGAGCTGTGCCAAGGTATCAGTCCCTTTGGGAGCCTTTGTTTCTCATCTGTACACTGAGTGGTCCAATCTCGTATTCTTTAAGGTCCTCTGGCTGGGAGATTCCATGCATGGATTCCATGTATAAGGTTTTCTGATGAAAACAGAATTCGCTCTCCCCTTGCCCTGTCTCAGACCTTTGCAGAAGTGCAGTGGAGTTCTCAGGTGCAAGGGGCACCTTCTGGACCCAGGCCAGGCCAGGCCAGGCCAGGCTGTTTAGCCCTATTTCATCAGCAGCTGGCTGGCACCATTGTTCCCTCATAAACCCTGGCCCTTTTCCAGCTGCTGGGGCAGGGGAGAAGCTCAAAGGACTCAGTTGTGTGGCCTCCTCCACCCCCAGGGCAGGCTTGGGTCACCCAACAGGCTGACTCAGCCCTTGGAGGGGAACAAAGGAAATGAAAGACGGTGTAGGAAATTCGACATTTACCATTTTCCCCCAGAAAACCTCCAAAATAATTATTATGGGAAAATGCTTTTACATTTCTTCTATGGTATAGTGACATTTTTTTTTTTAATTGAGGAGAGTGCATCATTACTAATTTCAGTGCTTAGGGGCCCGTATTTATGTTTACCTTTTAATATCTTTGAAACTGGATTCATTAACAGAAGACAGCAAGTTCTAACATAGTTGCAGTATTTAAAGAATTACAGGGCCAGCCAAGGCCCAGTGGCACAGGCCTATAATCCCAGCACTATGGGAGGCTAAGGCAGAAGAATCACAAGTTCAAGCCCACCCTGGGCAACTTGGTGATTTAACAAGACCCTGTTTCAAAGTAAAAAGTAAAAAAAATGTGCTGTAGAATGTAGCTCAGTACAAATGCCTTGGCTTCAATCCTCAGAATTTAGAGAAAGAGAGAAAGGTATAGTTCATATACAACGGGTGATCAAAATATACAATAAATGTTTACATTTTAAAAATTTATTTCAGTAAAAGACATATTGCCTTAAAACACTCTCCTTTGATTTGGACATATTTATCCCCATCATTCTTGCTACTTCCTGAAGCAGTTCTGGAAGTCCTCTTTATAAAGACACATGAGTGTCTTTATCAGGCATAATCAAAAGTATATGGAGAGCCATCCAAAGAGCATCAGGCTCCCAAAACATTAAGGTGTTGACTGGGGATTTAGCTCAGTGGCACCGCACATGCCTCACAGGTGCTAGGTCCTGAATTTGATTCCCAGTACCCAAAAAAGAAAAAGAAAAAAAAGAAAAAAGAAAGAGGGAAAAAAATTAAAGTATATCCTCATTCATTTTACTTGCTGGGCCTGGCACCATGTGACTTCTGGCTCCTCCCCCAAAGTAAAAATGACCACGGAATGGTAAACATCTTGAAGCAGTCCAGAACATTGAACTAGTCACTGCAGCGCAAGTAAAGACACTCACGAAACAACATGTCCAGAAATGTTTTGGAAAGTAGTAAGAGGCAGGCATGGTAACCCATACCTGTAATCCCAGCATTCAGAAGGCTGAGGCAGGAGGATCACTGTGAATTTGAGACCAGCCTAGGCTACCTAGTAAGTTCAAGACCAGCATGAACTACATAGTGAGACCCTGTCAAAAAAAAAAAAAAAGTGGTAAGAATGCTAGGAAAAGTGTGTTTGAAGCAAGGATGGGGGGAATATTTTGAGAGAAAGTAATGACAATGTCCCTTTTATTATAATACTTTTTTGGTGGTGGGGGATACTGGGGATGGAACTCAGGACCTTATTATGCTTGTGAGGCAGGTGGCGGCACCAATGAGCTAAATCCCTGGCCCTTGTTATAATACTTTTTTTTAAAAAATTTAAATATCATATGTTTATCGTATCAAGTAAAGTTGCATATTACGACTATGGATCTTAAATTTTATGAAACATAGTAATTAGACCCCATTCTTGGATCTAGGGCCTACTGGGTACCCCCTCCAGTCCTCTCCACCACCTGGAGGCTCCTCCTTATCCTGGAGTCAGTGTAACCCTTTAAACTTTTTAGTTTCGCCTTAACATACGATCCCGCAGGAAATGTGAATGAGAAGCCTTGCTCCCCTTGACTCCTGACCAAGGCAGGGAGATTACTGAGTATCATGAAAATGCACAGAAGAAGAAAAAATTTAATTCCCAACTGTGTAAGGCAGTACTATACTGTTTTACATGTGTCAACTCAATCTTACAACCAATATCAGCAAATCTCCCATATTACACATGGGGAAAATTTCACCACGAGGTGAGATAACTGGCTCAAGATCACACTGCTAGTATGTGAGAAAGCCCAGGGAAAAAAAGCAAAATTTCTCTTTACCCCATCTGCCTAATTACCCCAGAGGTAAGATGGTCATGAATGGGCGTATCCTCCCAGGTCTTGGGGAATTTTTTGTTTTTGAGATAGTCTCACTATGTAGTCCAGTGTAGTTCAGACTGGCTTTCAACTCACTTTGTAGCTCAGGCTGGCCTCAAACTCACAGCAATCATCCTGTCTCAGCCTCCAAATCTTGTTTTTATGAACTCGGGATAAACACAGGGACATCTATCATTCTGCTTTCCAAAAGGTGATGCTGTTCTGTGACTAGCTTTGCCTAATTAACTCCATGACTCAGAGATTTCTTTTCCATATAAGTACATAAAGAATAACTCGTACTTTTTAACTGCCTCTGAGTATCCTATACTCCTATGTGTCTGCAAGGTACCAGGCCCCATCTTGTGTTCACATGCACATCTCATTCCAACTTTACAGCCTGAGGCAAGCTGTTTTCTATTAAAAAAATTTTTTTTGAGACAGGGTCTCACTATATAGTTCAGGCTGGTCTTGAACTCATTATGTAGCCCGGGTTGGGCTCAAACCCATGGTGATCCTCTTGCCTCAGCCTCCCAAGTGTTTTATTCATTTTATTAAAAAGGAAGAAAGTGAAGCCTGGAGAGGTTAAGTACAGTCCTGCATCAAGTACTGTAATAATATTTGATCAATGATGGAAATGACGTTGGTTAAAGATGAAAATGACAGTGAGTTTTACAAGATTATAATGTTGTTTTTTTTGGTACCAGGGATTGAACTCAGGCCCTTGCACTTGTGAGACAGGTGCTGGAACCACTGAGCCAAATCCCCGGCCCAAGATTATAGTGGAAGTGAAAAATTCCTATCACCTAATGGCATGGTAACCCTTGGACTATCATAGCACAATACATTATTTTTGTGTTGTGGTGATCCTGGGAGAAACAAACCTGCTGCACGGTGAGTCATAAAAGTACCACCCATACAATTACATAGAGTACATAATACTTGACAATAAATGACGATGTTACTTGCTTGTGTATTTATGATTCTTATCATTATTTTAGAATATACTCTTTCTACTTAGTAAAAAAAAAAAAAAAAAAAAACTTACTGAGTGGTGGTGTACACCTGTCATTTCAACATTCTGGGAGGCTGAGGCAAGAGGATCATAAGTTGGAGCCCTATCTGGGAAACTTAGCAACTTGGTGAGATCATCTCAAACAAAAACAGGTAAGGACATAGCTTAGTGTGAAGGCCCTGGGTTCAATCCTCAGCACACTCCCCAGGAAAAGGTTACTATAACATGGTTACCTTGGCACCAGCCTCATACATCTCGTGCTTATCTATCTCTTTGTGTGTGTGTGTGTGTGTCATTTTTTAAAAGATGGAGTCTTGTTATATAGTTTGGGCTGGACTTGAACTCACCATGTAGCCCAGGCTGGCCTTGAACTCACAGTGATCTTCCTGCCTC